ATATATATATATATATACATACATATAAAACTAAAATTAAATATAAAAGTTAATACTCGAGAAATAAAAATGCGATTTATTTTCAGATCCATCGCATTTATCGTACCTCTGATGCAAGTGTTACGAAGGCACAGCAAGAGTTTGCTACAACATTTTTGCGAAATGAGCATGTGCAGAACGCTGCAAGCAATGTTGCGGCGAATGCCGTTCGCCAGCAAATGGCTAACGCCAGCCAACCACGTTATTAAATAATTCTACCATTTATTTGTTCTACAAAAACACTATTCTGGCTTAACATCATTCAGTAAGTGGATAGATCTCATTAGTTCCACTATTTATGGATTATACAAATGATCATAGAAATATGATATATTGCAAAACTTTATTCTTTCAATGAAACGCTGCAATGTACGAAAGTTGTGCTTCACGATCAAACTTATTCTCTGATATACGTTGTATTATTACAACGTTAATTGTACAGTTAATGCTAGAAAGCATCTCGAGACATTAAGAAATATTCAAAGAAACTTTTCGAAACTAATATGTATTTTGTTTCTAATATTTTAGTTGAAAGAAAATTATATAAATAACATTTCTATATAAGATCAATGTATTAGTTTGTATTATCTTTTATCATGTATGTTTATTTATGAGGTCTTCAAGTTAAATTATAATAATAGGATTGAGCTATTAATCATATCAATCATATCACATAATTTTATTACATAATTGCTTATATTTGCTAGCTTTCATATTTTAGTAGCACAATCTCATGACAATGTGATCATATTATAAGTTATGAGAGTATGATAATTAAATTTATTTAAAGTCCAACTGCAAAGATTCGATTTATAGAATATAATTTGAATCATATTTGTTGAATATTAATCTAACCTGACATAAATGCTAATTTACTTGATTGATTAAAATAGCCTTTTTATAAACCTTGTGAAATCCTATACATTCCTGTTTTTATGCAATCATTATTTCAAATCATTTTATTACGACTGCTGTTTGATATTAAACAGCTAAGCGAGGAATGTTATGTTAATAAGAAAGAAGTTGGATTTTATAAATTTGTAAAATAATTTTATAATTTTTGCAAAGTGTTAAAAGATATTGTTATTTGTTGGAACTGAAATATGCTACGATTTATTTGTATTTCTTCACATATAATGATAATAAACAGATATAACAACTAAAATTTTAAAAATAATTTTTACAGACAATTATGAATATCGGATATTCAGAAGTATTATAGTAGTATTAACATTTTATAAAGATTATAAAGCTTAATAGATTCTTAAAAATATCTTATTGAATAAAAAAAACTTTATAACTTTGTTTTTCGATTGTGATATGACAAGTTAATACCTATATATATGATTCTAGTTCCTGTAAATTAAGCTTTTTGAGTAATTCTTTTGCTGTAAGAAAACATTAAAACATTAAAATCGAGAAAGAATGTTAAAACATTTTATATATTTACATAATTTCATAAGTTGTTCAATATACCTTTTAAATGATATGTTGCTATTGGATTTGTTGGAAATGGACAACCGACATCAGAATCATTTGATAAGGTAGTGCCAATTAATTCCGCTGCAGTCACAGCATCAATAATTTCTACTTTAGTTCGATACATGAGTTTTGCATGACCTTCAGCTAATCTGAAAACATTAAGCTGACATTATAGATTGTTAATAATCAAAATTGAACCGTAATAATATTCTAAGAAAATTCTTATATCATTATTGATGATTAATCAAAGTGATTACTTTTTTATTTTACCTGATAAGACTATCTAAAAGTCGCACTGTTGTTCTCTCAGATCTTCTATACGGATCTGATCTGTGATAAAGATAAGTTGCACTGAGTATTTTCTTTGCCTCTTCGGTTAGCTCTGGTTTTAGCGCGCGCACGTGTGCAAAATATTCGCAAAGAGTTTCTTCTGACCATAGACCCGTTAAATTTGATGGACCCATGTATGTTTCGGAATATCTGTAATACTATTTCATTACATACATTTTGTTATTGCGAGCAATGTTGACTTGACTAAAAGAAAAATGTGTATATTACGAATTTTCTTCGTCTTCACAAGCAGCCTTTAAAATGTGACTTGCTGTCATCCTGTCCCATTCGAGATTTCTAGTATCTCTCAGAAGAAGGATCAGATCAAAGCGCGACAAAAGAGGACCCTCTAAGCAGGTTTTCCATTCTTCGCCCTTGAAACATCCACCGTCTGGATTGATGGCTGCAATAACGGAGCAACGACTGTTTAATGTGCTAACCATGCCAGCTTTGGCGATGGAGATCGTTTGCTGTTCCATTGCTTCGTGTACAGAGGCTCTGTCGTGTGAACTCATTGTTGTGAATTCATCCACACAACACACGCCTCCATCTGCAAGCACTAAAGCCCCGGCTTCTAAATGCCAACCATCCGAGTCCTGTAATATATCTTTGCTGTAGACTCTATTAAACAATTACTGATAGTGATGAATAGGAATAAAGCATTTAATATATGCTAACTTTAACAGCAGCTGCTGTAAGCCCAGCGGCAGTACTTCCAATACCGGTTGTAAAGATTGACCGTGTAATTAGTCGAGATGCAACGCGAAGCAATTGTGATTTACCAGTACCAGGATCTCCGACCAGAAGAAGATGAGGCTCACCTCTCACACGCGTTCCTGTTTCATTAGTTTTTGCTACACCGCCACATAAAACAACAGCTAATGCTAATTTTGCAATATACATCCCATATAACTGTGAATGATTGAAATAGAAGATATATTTATTAAAAAATATATTTGTAATATTAATAATATTATATTTAGTATAATATTTAAAAATATTAAATTTAAATATACCTGAGGACAAATAGAGGCAAGAATATTGTCTCTACCAGATAACGCGTCATTTTGATAATGTTGCCAATATGCCGTAAAAGTTTCTTTTATTTCTCCTGTAGAAAATGTTGCTTCTGTGATTTTTTTGCGTACAGAAATACTGTTCGCCATCAGGAATGTTGTAGCTTCTGCGCGTTCTCCAACCTTTAGTTTACCCCACTTTCGTATAACTACTCCACTACAAATATTTTTATATTTACAGCTGAAGCTAATTGTTAAATTAAGTTTTATGATTTTTATAATTTATAATATTGAATATTTACTCCTTCTTACATTAAATCAATAGATAAATATTAACAGAATAAAAAAAATAAATAGTACGAACCTGATGTCTACATTATCTCCAGGTCTACATTTGTCAACAAGATCATCCAACAAAACTACTTGCAGCCCCATTGAATAGCAACTTCTTGCATCTGTTTTACATTTATCCTGGATACATAATATTATTTAAGTGTAAAGAAATGTTAGATAAGTTTAATAATAAGATATAAAGTTTTTTTTCTTACTTGAATCTTTAGTTCTTGATAATCAGAACAATCATCTTGTTCTAAAGATTTTGAAGCTTTTAAATTTTCAGAACGACATGCTTCACAATGTTTGACACTTCTAAACAATTGTCTTTCCCATTCTAACTATAAGAGAAAAGAGATTTAATTGTTATATGTATATAGTTAACAGTAAACTATAATTTGTTGTTATTCTTATATTATTTTTGTCAATATGAAGTTTACCTACATTGACTATATTAATATGTTTGCATTTTTTACATATAAAACGTTTCTTCATTTTCATAACTGATGGTTGGGACATGCGTACTATAATTCCAGATGTTGAAACTAGCTCACCTATTTGACCAGTATCGAGTTTGATTGGTACTGTAGTAATTCGAATATGAACCTACATATTAAATTATAACATTAATATTATGAAGTAAGATGTAAATATTACTATACAAATATTTATCTATTATCGGTATCAATAGAAATTACCTATACATAAGTATTTAAATGTTTATAATAATGCCTTTCAATTAATAAGCTATATAGGAGATAAATTTTTAGGAAAATGCAGATATTTTTTAATTTTAATATACAATTATTAATCTACAATTATTATTCTATTAATATCAATTATACATTGACATGATTGTTTTTATTCAAATTTATATATTATTATTCAAATGTGTAAAAGTAAATAATAAGATAAAGATGCGTACCCTAGTCTTTACTGTTTGTCCAGTTTTGCATAGTTGTTCCTGAGCTTTTACAGCTGCTTCATCACATAGTGGCAGATGATGTCTAGGATGACGTAAGATTTTTTGTGCACTTTCTGCTTCGGCTTCAAATAATGATACAAAGCTAACAAATCATTAACGTACAATAAGAACATTATTATAGCATTATTGTAACTTATTAACTTTTACTAATATATTTAAAATAAATTTAGGTGAATAATGCTTAATAAAATATATTATGACGCTAACCTAACAAAAGTTTGTACGCACTCACTTAACGTATATTGAATAAACCGTATATTTCTCAGCAGCATTTAATATATTTTCCAAATCATTCGTGTGGTGCTTTAAAAGATAATCTTCAAGCATGTTGATAGCTTCCGTGAAGTATCAACACAACGGCACAAATAGCACGTGGTTATTTTCCCGCCAAATGATCTTAAGTGAAGTTGGCTACTGACTGACAGTCGCCAATCATCTCTTTACATTGATCTCCCACCACAAATTTCTGTAACACCAGATCTATCGGATTGAGATATATTGAAGCTATATAAAGTATAAGTAAATAAGATATAAATGAAAAATATAAATAAAAGTTTAATTAGCATTCAAACTCATAGTAATCAATATTCCTTTACAACTTCTGAGAACATAAGAAGACATCAAAATTATTTTTATCAATCTAATATGGTAATTAATATCATACTGTTTAAATCATAATTAATTTAATAAAATAATTTTATTTATTTATTAAGTTTTTAGTTTAATTTGTTTTATAAACGAAACTTGTATTCCGTACACATTTGATTTCGATAAAAATGTCACGCTTGGCACGCGGCGATGATTGTCTGTTAAAACGCCATCAATGCCGCAGATTCGTCAGCTGTCAGTTAAATGCTTGAAATTCCATTTGAGCCGGAAACCATTCTCGCGCCACGCTTCGAGGCTTTCGGTCACAGTTTCGGTTACTTTTCGCCAAACCACATCGGTGGCCAGCCTCCATTAATCGATCTCGACGTGTCTCGACGTCTATCCGTCCCATAATTCCGCGTCGCGGTTTCGTACGGGGTTTCTGCGGTAAAACTTCTTCCGCAACATCGGAAACCTTTTCTGCTCCTAATTTTCGTCGGCGGGGCCGCCATGTGAGGGTGGTATATGCGGGGTGCATTCCAATACATGCGTCGGGAAATAAATGTTGTCGAATGAACGCCCCGGTTGAATAGATATTCCGGGCTTCTGAATATATATTTGAGTTACGATGAAATCGGATTTTTCGCTCGTTCAAACAGCGGCGAAGCAAACGGAAATCGATCGGGAATACACACAGTAGAAATAATACCATCCGGAACACAAGAGTTTCGCGCTCGATTCTTTTGCAATGTTTTTGCATCATATATGTTTTTTTTTATTTTTGTTTATTACCTCAGATGAAAGTAATTATTATCTAAAGAGACCGATGATTCTCTAAATATTTATCACATATGAATTTTTCCTCTAGCGAAACGCGATATAAAAAAAATTGATGAAAAAAAATTGATGAATATTCTCAACTAATATTCACTAATTATTTAATATATAATAAAAAAAAGCGATGCGAAAATGAGATACTCTTTATCAATTGCAGATTAATTCATACGGATATTTTTCTCTTCATATTTTTAATTGCGGATTTTACATTACTTATGAATCCGTCCTCTTCATTAACAAAATGCCTCATATTGTGTGCAAGAGACAGCAGATCGGAGTCCGGAAACAAAGCGCTCGTTAATCAACGTTTTAACGATATCCGATTTGGGATAACGTAGCGCGGCGCAGTTCATCCTTTTATTTGTCGATTCTCATCCGGTACTATTTCTTCTTCGGGTTCTGATACCCGGAGGGGTTTGATTTAAATTGGAGCACGGCGACATTTCAAGTGGGGATAATGTATATTAAATATATGACGTCTGTATTGGTTTTACGATGTCATTAGTAACGATTCCCTTTACGACCTGTTTCTGAGTTATAAATTACTGGTCGGATACACGATGGTGGAGAGAAGCAGTGTAATTAGCGTTACTGTGCGCGCACTGTGCGGATATATATGCGGAGGTATAATTGGTCCGCACACGATCAAAACTTGCCTCATCCATTTTGTACTCTAACATCGCGAGCATAAGTCTTGTGAACTCGTGGATCTTCAAAGGCTTCGTTCAAATTTATCCTTTACTGTCCATTTTAGTACGTTTAGTACGTTTAGTACGTTTAGTACGTTTAACGTCATGCGCGAACATTAGACAATTACAATATCACACATCATCAGAGAGATCACGTATTGGTTTAATGGTATTGGTGATTGTATGTGCGATTAGATATACGTATAAATGTTGTAGAAGCAAAATAGTGTATCTTTGAAAATTGCACTTGGTTTTGTATTACCGTTGCAGAATGTCATTTAACATGACGTCATTTTTAAACCAGAAAGTTGTGTGTACATATGTATTGCTTTTATGAATAGGTATAGTAATATATCTTGCTCGCTTATGAAATAATGTAATTGAAAATCCTTTGACACGAAATTGTGAAATAGTTGAAAATGCATAACGCAATATTTCTTTCAATCTGCACAAAAATCCGCAATCAAGTTTAGCATAAAAATTTCTATTTCAACGCGGCTAAAATAAGAACTATTTCAAACAATTGTAAAAAATAATAAGACATACAAGATAAAACAAATAATAAATTCGTACAATTAAAATATCGTACAATCAAAATATGATGTTAATTTATAATATATCAACTTAATGGACACACAGTATTTTATCTTCACTCTTATAACGTCATTTCTTCGCAGGAGTACGGAGGATAATTGTTTTTTTTTTTTTTCTCACTTTGTGATGTTAACGTCTGATTTGAAAAACGCTATGCGGATGAAAGTAAAGCGGATGAATTCGTAACGAGACGAAGATCATTCTCCATTGAAATTCTTCAACCTTGTGTAAATAATAATCGCGGTGTCGTTCGCTCGGTGGATGTCTATTCTTGTACATGAAATTCCACCCGAAACGCAAATTGTCGCTCCATTCACGATCGAACGGTAGCGTGGTAAATCGGACGAGTTTAAGTCATACGTGTACCGCACATTTCCCGTAAGCACAATTCCATATAAGTTGTCAACCGCAGGCAGCAGCTGGTGGCTTCCAGACGAAATTATAGAAAGTTGAATGCCATCCGTATGTCTGGAAATATCACGTTCTTCCTCGAACCATTAACACTGTTTATTTGTCCATTGATGCATTCACTAGCGTTGGTTGATATGGAAATATGAAAGAAAAACGAGATACAAATAAAAAAATATATAAAAACACATCAAAACGTGATTTAAAGATATGACATTTAACAAAATAAAAAAATTTAATAAAAAGAATTTGTACACATATATACTCGGACTGAATTCAACATGTATACATTTTTACTTTTTATCTTTTTTGCGATTTTATAAAAATTTTATTTTTATATATTTTAATTTTTACATATAAATACAGTATCTATTTTTGGATAAAACATGGTTTTTTCGACAAGCTAATATAATATAACAAATATATAATATAACAAATGTATTATTAAAATATTAATAATCTTTAAAACATCTTCTAAAAGATGGCCTAATAACAATTGGGCATTTTTTTCTTTATTTACCTCTATATAAGACATTTTATCATTCACTCACTATTCTATTGAGAGGCAGAAAGCTATGTGATTCGAACAGAAAGAAATATCTCGAACAAGCATTGGCGGAGAAGGAAAAGCGAATGTCCTGTCCAGCAGGGATTCCACGTCCTGCCGGGTCCTATGCTTTAATAATACATCTCAGAACCGTTAATCACACCGATGAAATATAATTTAATACCTCAACGATCGAGGGACGACCACTAAAAATGACGAACGGCCGGGAAACACGCGGCAAATGTGCTACCTACAAGCGATTCCCGCGCGCCACCCCTGGCGTGCAATAACGATAAAGGGTTGGGTATTCCTGAACGACCCTTCTGGTATGGGCACTCGTGAAAGGCGTGTGTGGGCTGTACATTACATTCGTCCACTCGGCCGCACTCAATAGCCTCCCAATTCGCTGGAATCCTTCGTATATGGAGCGGCCGAGTGGTCCTCTAACTCCGCAAATAGCAGTGGGACCAATCCGAGTACTTACGTATGATATTCAATCAATAGGATGTCCACGTGTCGTACTAGGAATTTATATCGTTGATATAACAAAATGTATATTAACCGCAATATATATATATATATATATATATATGCGATTGGAAACGAAATAAAAATAAACGAAATGAATAATAAACTTTAATTAATCGACATTATATAATATAACGTTAACTATTTAGTTACAATTCTTTAATGACTTATCGTCATTGTAATAATTACAATTTTTTTATATTTTGAGATGATGCTGATTTTTTTTTATACAGATTAATAGGCATATATTGCCGAAATTATTTTCTAGATATTCTGACAAATTATTCATAGGATTAATTATTTTGATTTGGAAATACTTTGTTGAATTAAACGTTTTAGATTAACAAGATAATATTTGGTCTTAATACTTTTTATCTTTGAATTAAAAAAATAAAACTTTATTTTTCTGTCTTAGATGTTATTCCATCTTTTATTTTATAATTATATTATTTTATAATTTATAACCTTGGGTTTAGAAGATATTTGCTAGAAGAGTTTTGTTTCATTCGTAATCGAGAAGGATTCTTGAGAGAGGCCATGGTTACGTATAGATATTGATTATATTGATCCGGAGGGGATGATCCAGTTACTCGACGAAGTTTTCGTTATTGCCGGCATTCGTACTGATGAGGTTCGCTCAAGCATGTTCTTTCCGACCTTTATGTGACACTCGTGGGAGCGGAAGCTGTTGCCGAGGACCGAATCGAGGTGATGTTTGTAACAATGACGGCAATTTCGATGGACAAAGGTGTTCCCAACGATTTGATGCATGATTTTGGCAGTGAGCCAGGAACTTCGCTGAAGTAAAATATATTCACGTGAATTAATCTTAAATTATTAATAAAATTTTTAATGATAAGAAGTAAAAACAAATGGTTATTAAATATACCTAAAAATATCACAACATGTAGTAAAAGGATTTTAAAAAACACTATTTTTAAATCTGTTTTAAATGTTATTTTTTTCTCTCTCATTTCATCAAGAATCTCAAGAAGCATTAATATTTTTTTGTATACACTGTAAATATAATTAGCAAGCACCAATTAAAATACAACGTAAAGAGTTTACGGTAATGCTCATAATCGAAAGCATTATGGAGTTTGCTAATTTGTTCATTCGCGCAAGCATC